GAGTCGGAAGATCCTAAATCATCATCAAGAATCCCCCAGAAGAAATTTTCCCTATGGAAAATTCCCATATGATAAAACAAAATCATCTTATTCATTCAAATATCAAAATACAAACCTTCTCAAATAAAAAAAGAATTCCAAAATCAAAACAAACGCCCGCCGCCGAGAGACAATTATATTCAAGACCAAGAAGAAATATGTAAACCTCCGAAAATATTTTATACTTGTAAGATAATAAAAAAAGAGACTCCTAAAAAACACCAATTAGAAAGAAATCATCATGATTAATAGAGATTTATACTCGACAATACCCGAAAAACATATAGATAAACCCCTTGCATTTCAACATCCAATATCTCGGAAGATTATATGGATCCCTTAAAATTCTAAATCAGAATTCATATATTACCAATATACGATAAACATGAATCGAACAAAATCATCAATGAAGAAACATCCAATTACTAGACCCTTAGGAAAAGGTGAATTTCTCATCAATTTTAGGAGAATCGAAAGAAAAGTTTTGAAATTATTGAAATTTAACCTCGCATATTTCATCCAATTCAACTAATAATACCCCATCTCCATGAAAAGAAGAGGATCAAAGAACAAATATATGCAAAAGAGATCGCTAGAGCAGATATCTCGCCTGGGTCTGGACAGAACTTGCAACCTTCGATCATGCCAAGTAGAAAGGGCATACCGGGCATACCAAAGCTCAAAGGGAGCTTTGAAGATGATCAAGTGCAGATGCAACTCCTGAGTGGACAACGACGACAGGGAGTAGGGAAACTCTTTCTGAACATGCAGAACTGGAATTTGTAACTTCGAACAAGAAAATAAAACTGAGAACAAATGTTTCATTTTGCCTTGCGCTGCAACCACGCGCCAAAGGGATTCCTTCGCACGCCGTCGCATCTTTTGACCATGCAAGCCCGGATACGGGCCACATGCAGTCGCACACCCAGTCGCCCCCAGCCGACGACTGTTCAAAGCGACTGGGATCTGCAAGCTTCGTTTAGTTGGCACATCTAACACCCATTCTGGGGGACTGAGGTGTCCTTGAAATGTTGAAAACGGCCTGCAGCCACGAGGACACATCTAGGAAAGTAGGGGCATGCCGCACTAGACGTACATCCAGAGCATTGAGAAGGGCCGTTGCTCAGCAAAGCGGCTCATTTTCTCGCAGTAGTGAGCCCAGGTCCGCTCCTTCTTGAGAAGACACTGAGACCACTATGAGGCAAACACAAACAGCACGCGGAAAACATATTTTGGTTGCTTTTGGGCACTTCATGGCTATGCTTTGTTGCGCCTGGAAGCTGGCGTTGGCGGCCTCCCAGAACCCATGTCCAAGGTAGACCTCGAACAAGAGAGTTCGCACGAGTTCGCAGAGTGGCACACAGCACTTCACAGTACTTCACAACACTCACTCTCCCAACCCCCCAAACTCTGCCTGCGACGCGATGACCACACAAAGCTGGACCATGGGCATACTCAAACACCCCAACACCTGCACCCGTTCCATGCTGTCAGCATGCTGTCACCATGCTGGAGGCTTCGCTGAGTGTTTTGCCCGCGCCTTCCCTGCGCAAGCCAGCAGCAGAAAGTCATCATTGAGAATGCACTTGTCGTCCTCGTCCTCTCTCTCGAGAGTGGGATCCGTTTCCAGAGTCCTCCACCTTCCAGAGTTAAAAGCTACTAAAAGGTACTAAAAGCTACTAAACGCTACTGGCGGCTGCTGGCCCACGAATGCAAGGGCTTGGTAATGGTTGGTACCCCCTGCCTAAGCTCTCTGAGCTCAGCCGTCGCTGACTGCTTGGCCAGTCCGCCATCTCTAGCAGCACCGATGATTCTAGCAGCAACCTCACAAAACCAGCCGTTGCATTCATTGATTTAGTGGCCTTCACGCACGTGCAAGGTGTAACGCACGTCTGCTGAGGTCTCAACCTGATGCGGCATCTGCTCCTGCGACAGGCGACACCGTGGTGCCGAGCATCATGTGTCCTACTTGTGTTTCCGAGAACAAATGTCGAAACGGTCATATGGCCTTGAACAGCTTCTCCTCGCTGTGTCCTGAAGCCCGGAGCCCAAGGCAACTGCAGAGGGAGCTTTCTCTGGAAAAATCTTTGGAAAAATCTGGAAAAACTTGAAAAATGGGGGGGGGGGGGCTTTTTTTTTTTTTGTTTTTTTTCTCGAAGGGCCTTGAGCCTTGGCTCGCAGGGCGACGTCCGGGTAACGGCCCCTCATCAGAAAGAAGTAACCTGGGACAGAGCTGTGTGGAGAGCCATGGAGAGCCAGTGAGGTGCTCTCCAAACTCTGAGATGTAAGCCATGTAGGGTTTAGGGTTTAGGGTTTAGGGTTTAGGGTGTAGGGTTTCATCACAAGCATAGCTGAGACCGTCGCAAAGCATTACTCCCCCGTACCTCAGCGAGGCATCATTGGTTCCGAGGCCTTTCTAAGCTCCGATTGGACATTGTCGCCCCCAAAAAAAAACACAGTCCGGCATGCCCCAAAGCAACGAGTCATATGTACTGCTGGGAAGTTGCAGCATAAACAGGAAAACGCCAGCGAAGAAAACTGGCACAGCAATCCAGATATCCGCCATGTCTCCAGATGCTAACCTGACCAAGCATTCATGCATGAGCATGCTTTAACGTTTTTCAGGGAGCTTCGTTTGATTCACGCACTGTGTGCCCCAGATTGGGCCTCCAAGGGAGCGTGCACAGGTCGTATGCAAAAGCATAGCACAAAACCTGCGAGTCATCACAAGTCGGGGCATGGTCCAAGCCAACGATGCACCTGCCACCAAGCGGCGCAGAACCCGAGCACACTGTGAGTCCTTCACAAGATTGAGGTGTCCGTCACTTGCGCACGAGCTTGCGCCGTGCGTTGGCAGAAAAGTACCGTGCAAAGCACTGTGCGGATCAAACTGCGGCTAAATCTTGCAAAGCCAGCTGGTCGTGCCAAAGAGGAAAAGCGGGAAGACATACACCATGTGAAGCATGCCAATGTACACCTGACTGAAGGTGCGAGAAAGCACACCCCACGGTCTTGTTAACGCTAAGCAAAAAACGGTCATGGGTTCATGTCCCGCCACTTCTCTCTTTGAGGCCGCTGCAAGTGCCATGATATCTGAGATGATGCTAAGCCTGAGCGCTTGTTTTCTGCCAAGCTTTGTTACAGCTGGACAGCATGACCAATGTTGGAGTCGGGTGTACGGCGTATGCTCTTGAAAAGACATGATCATTGATGTCATGGTGCTTGAAGTGAAAGGTGGCAAAGGTAGGGATCGAAGAATGACAAAGGGCCACTGTACGTAGGAGTGACTTGGGATCGAAAGGGCTCATGACGCTTGGAGGCTTCCTGCGATGCTGGGCGAGGAAAAGCGGTGGTGGCCGTGACAGTGCGATAGGTTGACCCTACCTACCTACCTGCCTACCCTTTTTGACCGCCACAATGGTGAGACTGTTTCAGTGCACTAGCCTCGCTTGCTTCGAAACTCAGGCCGCGTGTTCTGTTGGCGTAGAGTGTTGTCACTGAAGTCTGGAACTCTCAGCGAGGACAGGGAACACCCGCCAGTTGCGCGATGTGAGACGTAGCTCAGTCCGACTTGGCTTTAGCATTAGAACGTTTTTTATCTCGAAGAGTCCTGTTGGCATGTCCTCGTGCCCAAGAAATTAATTCCTTGCCAGCCCCGTGCACGCACAGTTTGATGCCGCACCAGCTCGCCTCTGCACACGCCGTACCACTCTTGGCACGACGAACAGACGATTGCATCGTTTCTTGCCCGTGAACACCTAGTCATTCAAAGTAAGACCGAGACGTGTGTTTCAGCATAGCTTTCTAGATTCTCAATCCGCAATTCCGCTCGTCATGCTTTTGTCCTGACTCTGCCACACCCTACATCAGCATAATCCTGTATCCCCGCCAATGTCCATGTCATGGGAAATCTTAGCAAAGCATAAAGCGAAAACGACAAGCATGCGCCCCAGCCTAAATTTTGGGGTATTTCAAAGTTAACTGCTGGCAATGTTTTGCATTCTTAGTACTTCAACAATACATAATTGACATAACTCAGATAGTTTCAATAATTAAAAATTCAACTTCTTGGGGAATTATTCAATTCCGCACCCCATCCCAGTGCTTTAAAAAGTGCACTTACGCTACGAGGGAAGGGCAAAATCACGTAGTTCCGGAGCCTCCACTACATTCCCCCAAAATTTGAGCAGTTTTCTCTTGTTCTGATGCAAATAGCTTAAGATCTGGGGAGTGCCGTGTAACGTGAACCCGTGGCAAGGCTCGTGGCCCCTCAAACCTCAAATCCGGGTCCCCTTTGCTAAAAAGACCCTATTGACGCTACGTGGGAGGCCGGGGCATCTTTCATTATGTAATGTCGGGGCCATCGCCTGGGAAGCTTGCGACCAGCATATCTACGAACACGGACTACAGCCTCTCCTATGGTTTTGCTATGAGGGCCTGATGTGTCCCTTCCCAATCAGTCCCGACCAGTCCTGATCATCCCGAGCATGTCCCGACCCAGACCTCAACCTTCCCAAGCAGAGATCCCCCAGAGGCAAGCAAAGCAACTGTCAAATAGGAGTCGCATAGAACAGGCCATAATTCGGGCTGCAGCCATTGGAAAAGACGGAGGCGTATTAGCAAACCACGCGTATGAAGTCTCAGCATACTGATTCATGCCATGCTGTGTGTCATGCATTTGATGCCATATACTGCGCCTCAACCTATTGCATGCTAGCTGAGAAGTCACACACACACACACACATGGGGCACGGATCAATAACCAGACTTGGGCTTCCGAGGGCAGCACCTGTTGGGCTGAAGGAAAAACTGGTGAGTCCAGCTGAGCTTCACCTGGTGAACGCAGCAAGACTCAATTTACTCAATAAGACCTCGCTCAATCTCGGAGCTTCTAGGGCACCTCGATCATCCATGACACCGCCACTGCTGCTAGAGTGTTTGGGCCTTCAGTTTGGCAGGCACTCGGGACACACTGAAAACACTCAACACACTGACGCCACTGGGGCCCAAGCTGAATGCGAGGACCAATGCCAAAGCATGCAGCTTCCTAAGTTTAGCGTCCCCGATTGCTGAGGAGGGTTGCGAGTTTTGGCATTTAACGTGGTCAAGGACCCACGTCCACAGGCCCACCACTACAATGACGGTTGCAATCTGGCGAATAACTTCAATGTTCCATAGTACATGGTGTTCTTCATGCTTCTACAAGTCTACAACCAGCCGAGTCACTGGAAGCCGCGCAGTTGAGCCAGTGAGCTCATGGCCATTTGGGCGTCCTTCGTATCTCGTAAGATCAAGAAATATCCAAGGCATAACGACCAACGTGAGGAACCTTCCAGTGTGCCTTACAGAAATCCCCAATATCCCAAAACGTGCCCACAATTGGCCCACGATCCCATGACCGTGCAATGTCCGGTTAGGTGACCTGTGTGCTTTCCACGGTTTTTCCCACAGTCCGAAGAGCTTCACCCTCTCATGCCTCCACGAGGGTGTTGGTGGCCATGGCCAGGAAAAGCATCCGCAGCACCAACCTGGTCACCTGCACTTGTTTTGATGACAGTAGTGGACAGTATGACTTAGCATGAGAGAGACACTTTTCCGAAGCACGAATCAAAAAGCATTTGCCGAAGCATAAGAACAAAAACACAAAAACCGCAAATTCCGCATTCCTCTCTGCACATCAGACTCGAACGGCGCACCACACACTTCTGCAAGAAAGCACAACTACAGGGACCCCTGCGCACACCCAAATCCAAATCCTCATGGGAATGCGGGGAATGTGAAGACAACAGCCGCTACGCAGCATTGACGAAGGGAAACACGCACACGGAAGGAACAGAATGCTCTCTTTGGGGTGTTCTTCTGGCCTTTGTCTTCAGCGGTGCATCACCCTCCTGGAGCAAAGGATGCGGATGGCTACAGCATGGATGCCAAAGAAAACGATCAGCGGGAGATAAATGTAAACTTCATGTCCTGCTTCAGTGCACCGTTGGTCTTGAGAAGGGGCTCGTCCATAACCTCTTCGAGTCGAGGCAAACGATACTAATGATTAAGGCCCCGTGATGCTTTGACGCGCCATGACAGTTGCTGAGCCCACTGAGCCCGCATCCCAAGCGGTTGTGAGCACCTTGATGGCTGCGGCAAGGACTGCCAGAGCCAGAGGAGGCCGAAACCTCATTTGGCCGCGGATACTTGCGAGCTGCTTTACATGCAAACAAAGTCTCTTCTAAGTATGCTTAGAAGTTCGCTGAGAACTGAGAACCAGACAGCGGGTCCACATGGTTCTCCAAGAGGAACATGTTGCGGCTCACTCCGGGTTAGCTTGCAGTCCACACTCTGCCAACTACGCTTGCAACTTGGCTGTTGAGTTGTGAATGTGCCCTTCCATCAGTCCCACTTGCTCGTGAGGAAGGTGTCTTTAGGGTGTACAGGGTGCCGTGGGTTGTTCAAAGATCGCTCCTCAACTGCCTTGATCTGCAACATTGATTTGCACACCTCTGCTTGACACCTGCGAACCATATGGTTGCCTGACTTCCCCCAGCTGCTGCTGGAACCAATCAGCTCGAGACGCGCTGCGACGCAAGCGAACAAAACCTGTATATTGCTGTCGTCCCGCTGAACTAAGCCAAAGGTCGTACCCTGTCACTCTTTCTTTGCACCTTGAACTGAACAGATATGGGTACACCTTAACCTTGACCTTGGCATTTCCACGATTCTTCCTTCACCCGAAATACAACTCTCTCATTCCTTTTGGGTTCAGGGTTCTTTGATGTTGCGTTGCGATGCAATCCCCCAGTGGACTTCGCTGGACCCTCGCATGAACATTTGCACCCTGAAGAAAGGCCGCAGGCACATTTCACTTGTTTCCTTGGTGTTTGTTTGAACATCTTGTTTTTGACTCGGCGTTCGAAACGAAATACAGAGCTTTCTCTTGACGTTAACAGGACTTCCGCTACATATCTCACGACCCGAGGCTACACAAATCTTCGTCTTGGTCTCACTTCCAAATGAAGCAGGAATATTTGCAGAAGCTCTTGCTCAGCAAGTCATGCTACAAAAGCCTCTTGTGGGCTCTTCGGGATATGCTCCAGCAGAGCCAACCTACACGCTGCTTTGAGCGTGCGAAAGGGCGAAGATGCGAAAAAAGGTAAAAGAGCAAGAGAACACCTGCTCGGCAGCATTGAACTCTCCTCGATTGGCTTGTCAACACATCATTTTGCATCATGAATTGCTGAGATTTCAGTCAACAAATCCGTAATTAATCCTGAATTAAATGCGACAGGAAATCTTGAAGTTTCACTCTTAGCAAGACATCAGCTTCAAAAGGAAAGTCTGAAATTCCTGTCACCTTGAATATCTTGAATAGGAAATGCCTGATTCCCCCCCCCCCCTCCCCCTCGATTTCCTCGAGATTTGGATTGGGAAGGCTTGTGTGGCACCTCCACAAGCCAAAGGAAGGATTGGGCAATGTGATGTCTTGGGCCCGGGTTGTTGGAAACGGAAGACAAACCTAGGAATCCTCCTCTTGCGCCTAAACAGGTTTCAACAAATACTCAGAATTTTCAACAAGACTTTGCATCTTCGAAAGGAAGCCCATGATTTTCAAAAATCTAGGGGTCTTCTGATCATTTTCATGGGCATCTCTACAGGTGACCCCCCACGAAATGCGCTTTAGAGCCGATCAAATGTGCAAAAGCTGCGCTCTTACACTTTGAGGTGATATGTATAATAATAATAATGCGAATAGGATACTAATAATAATATTAATCATAGCAAAAATAATAAATTGCATGTGTGCATCCCCCGACGAGCTACCCCGTTGAGTGGAGTGACTCCCTTACAGAATCTTTCAGATCTTTTCCGTCATAATTCGGTTTCTGTGAACATTCCCCAAACTCCAAGGTGCAGAAACCCCAATGTTCACGTAACGTTTCGTCATAAAGGCTGCCCACTAAATCTTTCAAGGATACTTCCAACTTCCTCTACAGTGTTTCCACTTGTATATACTGACTGTGGACGATTGTTTCAGGACTCTTGCTTCCTTTGCCATTGCACCGAATGGACAGAATATGTTTCCACTATACATTGTACAATATACATGTGTATGTAATTATATATATATAGATACATGTCCGCACTCTGTGTTCTCGCCCTATCATAAATTACCAAGTGGTCGCAAGGAAAGATCAACATTTCTAGGTAGGGGCATGTGGCTACCGAATTGAAATTCCCAAGAGCTGTATTGAAGCTGTATTACAAAGCAAAGCCTTGTATTATTCTCTGGTGTGTTATATTGTTTTCTTTTGCCTGAACATGAAAAAGACTTCAGTGCTGCTGAGCTTGGGATTTCTGAAAACCCCCAGGTGCAGTGCAAGAACAGGTGGAGTGCACAGGCACTCCAAGCCTCAATCAGTAGATTTCGTGGCGACAAAGATGTGCCAACTCCTTGCTTCATCGGGCAGCAACGAAACAAGGTTATGAAACCAAAAACAGAACTGCGTGCCCTGTCAGCAACCACCGAAGCGCTCAGACGAACGAGACTACTCACCTGGTGCTCGAGCTGCTTGGGGTTCCGCCTTCTGCAAGTTTTAGTTTTTGCGTCCGGGTGTTCACTTGGGCTTTCTAAGCTGCAATGTCTTGCAGAGCTGGATGTAGCAATTCAGCCACGTCTCAGGTCCCCGTTCAACGCCGCCTTTTTCTCCAAGGTCCAGGTCTCCCGAGCCCAGTCGTAATCGAGCTTCTGGCTCCTCAGCCACACAAGGAATGCGGAGGGCTGAAAGGGGCACCCATTCGGTGGGCAAATTTCGGCGACGCAACGGGGGCCGCCCTCCAAAAACAGCCAGCAGCCAAGGCTCTCGACGCTGGACTCCAGGGCCGCCTGCAGCTTTCATGTATCAATTCCTCCTCACCATCCCTTCCATGCCCTTCCTCCCTTATCCGCCCTTGTCTCTCGTTTTGTTTTGTTGTCTGTTCCTTTTTTAATTCTGTTTTTCTTTCTCTCTCTCTCTCACTCATCTCGCTCATCTCGCTCTCTCGCTCTCGCTCGCTCGCGCGCACTCTCTCTCTCTCTCTCTCTCTCTCTCGCTCCAGGACTGCCACTGATTTGAGTCCTTTGCCGATTCCCAGCTCCATGTTCGTCTTGTGTGCTGTGTCCATCTTGTCGCTCCACCGAAAATCCGAACTGAGGCTGGGACCTTGTGGAGCTCCACCTTTTCCATGGCTGCGACACAGGCCTGGGCGGCGACCTCCTCGGTGCAAAGCACGCAATGAGGTCACACGACGTTGCAAGAGTTGTGCCAATCGAGAGAAACGCATTCGCAAGCTGCAAGCAGCTGCAGCTCTCAAGAATTCTGAAGACGCAGCCCGCCTCTGGCAGATCTCTCAATACCTCCTCGAGGCATCGCAGCAACTCTCTCTCTCTCTCTCTCACACACACACACACACCCACACGTGCGCGCTCTCGCGCGCGCCCGCGCACGCCCTCCCACACCTGCATGCACACCACACGCGCACAGAAAGTGAACACAAAGAAATACAGAGAGCTCGACGTGTGTGATACGCTTTTCTTGCTCGACCGCAGAATGTCACAGACACGAACGCGTTGCATCGGTCGTCCTTCAGCCGGCTTTCCAGGCAGCCGCTCAGTAGGATTTGGAGCTCTTCTGGCGGGCCCCACCTCGTGAAAATTTAGCTCTTGAGTGGTGAACAAATCGATAAGGTCTAAGGCACGGGCGTGCTTGGGCCCAGATTTGCCTCGATCTGCTGCAGCCCCTCATCCATAAACTTGACGAAGTCCTCTCGAACGGAGCTTGCGTGGCTCGGGTGGTTGGGAAGGTGGATGGGTCTACAACTGTGAGTCCAAGCAGGAAGGGACGCTCTCTCTTTCTCCAGGTGGCTGGGGGACATGGCCCTTTCCAGAATGATGCGGCTCTCCTGCGTGCAATCCTGGCTGGTCACTTCGAAGTAATGTTCCAGCAGTTCCTCGACCGCTTTTGCTGGGACAAGTTCGTAGTGCCTCAGCCACAACGCACTGCTTACATGGACTCGTCCGTGGGGCCCTTGGATGCACGGCCACATCGTGCGACCGCGTTGCCACCGGTGGATATGCTCTCGGAAGGCTTCTGACATCTCTTCCCGTGGCTTGCCCGCACAGTAGTCGATGACCACCAGTCGCCCCCCAGGCCTTTGCCGATAGAAACAAGAGCACCCATATGGACACAAGTAAGTTCATCACCCTTACTCACCTCAGAAGGCGTGCCACTTTGCGCAGGATCACCGCCTTGTCCTGCGAGAGTCACGTGATGCGAAAGTGCCCTTTGAAAAAACCCCCTTGAGTGGGAAAGTCAAACAGCCTGCTTCTCCAGGTACATCAATGTCTCACGCAGCACAGCGACGTCGAAGGCATTCGGCGGGTATCTCAGCTCGTTCTCCTTCGGCTGCTCGTGTCGCAAAAAGCCAGATTTTCCGATTCAGCGAGTTTGTCAGGCGTCTAGACATTGGGTGTGGGCTGAGCCTGCCAAGCGCGACCGCACTGTCAGGAGAAGTTGGAACTACTGCTGCCAGAAAGTCTGGACAAAAATGGCAAACCTGGACAAACTCAATAAGCCCCACATAGCCTCACTTTTGTATCCCCGAAGGCCCTGTCCGGCACGCCGGATTCTGGAGTTAACTCGAAGGTGACGCGCCGGCGCACCTTCTCCGGCACCTACGGTACGAGCTGAGTCGAGGGGTGGCCCAGGGCTGACCGAGGATGGGCCACATGTTTGATTGAGACTTGTTTGGGGGGTGTGGCTCCAAATCAGAGAGTTTAGGTCGAGCTTGGTGCGCAGGATTTGCAGTTTTCCAGTTGTTCTACCTCAGGTTTGCAGCAAGCACGGAGCGCGAGCATCTCAACGCTCGTGGTGGCTTCGAAACAGCTTTTGACAAGGGATGAAAATAGCCACAGTAAGTCTTGACGTCAATCATCCCTTCGCAGGCAACCCAGTATTGATCCATTAGTGGGCATCTGGAATGCCGAAAGCTCGTCTGCGTGCAGACGCGCCCTTGCCAAAAAAAAGGCTCCGAATCCCAGGACCACGTGAACCCCTCGCCTGAGGCATTCTTCCTGCGTTCACGCTGGCCAGCTCGCTACTCCAATTCCTCAAAAGAAAATAGAGAGCCTACTCAACGACTACTCTGCAAGCGAAAGGCAGGGCGGAGTCGGCGACTCCGCAGTGAATGATGCTCTGCGTAACTGATGTTAATTTACATGTAATGACTGGAAGGCTCAATTGTCAATACGCCCGAGGCTCACAGCGTGGACGTAGATCCCCGGATTCTGCTGTGTCCTTGCGTGATGCAACAAGAAAAGCCTCAAAACACTAAAGAAAACCTCCGGGCGTGTGTGTCGGGGGTGCCAGTTTCCCAAACCTCCAAGAATGGCGGTGTCTGTGGCAATGGAGTTGTTGCTGCCAAGATGGATGTGTGTTCCCCGGAAGTCTCGTCAACACATTTCAGTGTTTGCGTGACAGGGCCGAGAGATTCAAAACGAGCTTACAAGCAACTCCTCTGGAACGGCAGTAAGTTCTTGAATGCAAGCTTGCACGGCTTTAACGCAAGGTCCCCGCACTGTGGAGCTCCGACATTCGCTCCGAAATAACTTGGAATAACTTGGAATTCCCGTAAGAGGTCCCCCACCTGTTGAGCAAGAACTGAAGATCTCCTCTAGGCGTTGACAAATGCTGCAGGAAATCAAAGCTCCAATCTCCTCGCAATAGAAAAGGAGGAGCATGACAAACCCTCCTAGTCCTCAATAAGAATGAAGACAGCTCCTGTTTCTTTTCAGAAACAATGAAGTTCTTCTACCTCTGACTGCGAGCCTATCTACTTCTTGATAAATCTGCTCATCGAACCAATGTCATAAGATTTTCGCTGGATACTGGTTGGATCTATTGCAGGAGTAGGTAGCTCTTCTTTCTTGATCGGAAGTCGCAAAGTCGTCTCTTTCTTAATATGAAACAAGAAACCTCCTTTACTTCGTAGTTGGACACTGCTTGCGATTTGAGTCTCGGAGCGATAGAACAGACTCTGAACAGACAGGATGATGGGGAAATTGCTTTGCAAGCGTTCAACACAGGGGGGAACACTGCTTGCGATTGAACATCTCCGCAGAATTTAAAACAGAACAAGTGATGGGGACATTGCTCGCAATGTAGCATGCCCAAAGGAATTAAAACGAAGCGGATTAGTGGGATTCATGTCTCGGAAAGCTAAGAACATAAAACTGAAGCCTTGCCGCTGCTATCGAGCCACCTTGGTTTCTTGACGTAGAGCAGGAAAGAAACGGTTCGATGGCACCAAGTTTTCTGAGTTTCCTTTAGAAGACGTGACTTGGTGCTATGGATCCGCCGTGTGTGTTGATTTGTGGCAGGAACTCGGCCGTTCGAGAGCACCAATTTTGAAGACATTCCCTTCAAAGAGTTGTTGCTATCGATCCGCCTTGTGTTGTTTTCCAGCAGGAAAAAGGCAGCACCACATTGTCTCAGCCAATTCCCTTCAGAAAGAATGGTTTAGTGCGCAAGGAAAGCTAAAATGCGCAAAAAAGGCAAAGGTGATAACGAAAAAACTAACATACGCAAAAAGGTAGTTACATCCAATTCGTTAACCAACCGAACTCACATAGTAACATTCTAAACTTAGGGCACTTAATCTCTAATCTGGCAAAAAGGTAACCCTGATAAATTCACTCTGCCAATCACAAGCCATTTCAAGTCAATAAATACAATTAACCCGTCGGTACAACAGAAAGAACACGGCATGCCACTTTCCACGTTTTTTAGGCCCCTCATTGGTTGACTTCTCGTCTGAACCCATTGCGCGCTGAAAAGGCCATTGGGTTCTGTATGTAAATATGTCCAATTGTGTGGTTTGAGATTAGACGGCCAGTGAATAGTAAGAACATTCTTGCTGATATAAACACTGACCTGCAGTTGAATGGAATTCGTGAACCGGTTCGTATTTTAAATTGGGGGAGCCAATACCACCACAAACATTATGCTGTAGTTTATATTTATATTCGTGTAACTCATGAAAAAACCATTTACAGCCACGGTCAGCTCTGGCACATTGATTACGAAAAACCCAACCCGACATATCATAAAATAAATATCCAGCACCTGCCAATATCAACTAAGTTGAAGCAAACTGTGAATCACCTTTTGAGCTCTCAGCTAGTTGTCACAACCGAAAATCGCAATAGCCAGAAACTGATTCTGCGAGGGATTATTGAAGATAGGGCCCAAATGGGGGTTTACGAATATAGGGCCGCTTTTGATAAGGAGCCCAAATATGGTACCCCTGATTTCGGAAACCCCCAAATCACAAGCCACGTGTCAGAAAGTACGCAGTGCCCCCTGCTCCGGCGCCGATGTCTAAGCAGCGTGCTCCTCGCGACAGACGCGGGTGGAAACTTCGATTCCTGATTCTATCGTTGGTTCCTTCGAATTTGAGGGGGGTTCAAAGACCCCAAGGGGTTGGGCCTTCTGGCCACAGGGACTGCTCAGGCTGAAAAACAAAAGGTTCGTTGTGCAGTGGAGCCACGCCTAGGCCTAGCCAGGGCCTTCAGTAAGGTGTGTTTCGCCTCAAGCGTTCGATGCAAAAAGCTGTTCGTTGCATTGCTAACGCCAACATCCAGAAAGCGGTCCACCAAATGCTGCGCAGCTCAGATGCGGCGGTATAGGGGCACCCAGGCTTGAGGTTGAGAAGAGCAGCTGAAACGCTACGTTACTTAACTCATTCAAACCCTCGGACTACAGGATATCACCAGAAGAAACCTTCCTGGCTGCAGGTGGCCGGAGCACAGCTGCATGATCTTTTCAGAGATACGATCGCCGCCGGTGTAGATATAGCCCCGGCCGTAGATCTTCCTCGAAGCCCAAACCCTAAAATCTCTCAGCAACCGGAGTGGACCTACAGTAGACCGTATACCCGAGTGCCCTCTCTACCCAGCACCGGGGCCCAGGTGCTCGTAGCGCAGAATCTTGGCCGGTGAGTATTGTCCCGTCTGCAGCAGCATCAGGTGCCGGTCAGAGCGCACGCCCACCTTCGGGCCGCGCTTCGAGCTCTGAAGGTTCTCCCCCTTTTAGATGCAGCTTAAAGACGCAGTGCAAGCCATGCTGCTGAGCCTTCTGCCAGCGGAACCAGAACTGGTGCATGTTGCCTGGAGATGCCATCAAGTTGCGGCCTCTGGCCTCTGGAAAAAAGCTTCACAAGGCCCCCCGGCCTTTGAGCTGGGCGTAGCTCTCCACGAAGTTGGTGCCGCAGAGCTGGTAGCCTCTTTAAGATCCCGTTGTTTATTGTCTTTGTTTTTCCTTGTCTGCTTCAAGGTTATCTAAGGGTTTGGGAGATGTTGTTCCAACTTTGGCAGCTTTCTGGCATTTCGGGTTGTTTTGGTGCTTCAGAGGATCGTGGGCCGCATGCAACAAACAGCCGTGCACCACACAGAAACCCAGTAGCGCATGCTCTCGACATTGGCATCGCTGAAGAACTGGGAGTACCTTTGCTGAAGCCACGCTTATCCTTAGAACTAACGCCGTCAAGACGCCATTCCACAGGGCTCCGTATCCCTCAAATCCCCCATGCCGGTTTCCGGATTAATTTCCCATGCAAAAGGCACACGCTGAAGTCCACACGCCCAGGCACTGCTCCGGCGTCCGGTACTTCGTTGGGTTGAAGCGCCTTGTCGTATTCCCTGGCTTCGGTTGCAAGGGCACTCCAATAAAATTTCAGACACGCAAAGACATCAGCCCACAGATCAATCCCATCACGACAGTCGATGCGAGCAGTTGAAGCCCAGCCTGAGGCATGGAAGCAGGACTCACGCAGGAACATGTGGCCACCTCGAGAAAAAGAAGAGAACAAACGAAGAATGGCTAATTGAAGGGCTTCGGGGGCGGCTCATAGCCCAAGTACCGTGCCTTCTTCTGTTTAGGGGGTTCGTGGGCGGCGTGCGGCCCCCCATGGCCCCCGAACTCCCTGCTCCCTCCCTCTAAGAGGATGAAAGAACGGCCTGGGCGGAGCCAGGTCAGGATGTTTTTGGCCAACTCCTGGCATTCCTCTGCAAAGACGGGGGGGTGGGGTTCGTTGAAGCATCTCGTTTGCTCTCAGAAAGGACATCTTCTCATTTATGTGTCCAAGCCGTGCACCTCGTCAGTGAGGTACATGAACAGCCAATTGGAGAAAACCAAGTCGAATGAACCCGGTGCCAAGTTCCTGGGCTCTCTGACAATGGATTGTCTGGCTTTGGTCTGATTAGGGTTTAGGGGTTTTTGATTTCCAAGCTAGCTGAACATGCTGAAGCACCATGCGGTCAAGATGGTTGAACAGTTCTTTCCATAACGGTTTCCAACTTCGACGTGGCCCCATGCATGTGCGCCCCTGACGGACTTAACGAGGCTAACTCTCACGTGATGCGACAAGGCCTCCGGGACGGGCCCGATCCTTCGCCAAAACATCCCCAGGCAACACCCAATACTTCGGACCCTAGCTTGCACGCATGGCATCCGCGAGCACCCCTCGAACATTCCCTAAGTTCCTTAGATCAGACACGGCGCAGTGTGGTGACATCAGCTTGCAAGACCTGCGCCGAACATGCCGAACACAGCGGCAACGAAAAGACTGTCTGAGCCGCATGAAACTCAACATTAACCCCCGAACACGAACACATACGCAGCTGCCAGATCCGGGCAGCTGAACAGCTTGTTCACTTAAAGCTGGCAGATCTCAATTCCGGCTTTCACAGGACGTACTACAGTTTTCTGAGTTGCCTGCATTCGAAGACTCGGTCCCTGAACCTTCATGACCACAGAAAAAAACTGGGAAACCCTCAAAACCCAAACCCACCATTGAACCACAGGGGAGGAAGGGGGCACCATGGGTTGGGAAGCGGGGTCGAAGCGCGTTTCGGGTCCGCCCGATCGGGAACCGGGGTGTGCGTTTCAGGTCCGCCGTGCGTGGCCGCGGAGGTGCGTTTCAGGCTCTGCTGGAATGCGTTTCGTACAGGCCAAGGTGCGTTTCAGGTCCGGCACCACCATGACATGAAAGCCACAAGTCCGAAGCCCCTGAAGCCACCCGCTACAAGCCATGTCAGGCCGCGTTCAGGTTTATAGGGTTTATTGTATTTATAGGGCCCAGGACTTATAGGGTTTAGGATTTAGGGGTTTAGGCTTGAGTGTGCTGACGCTGTTCACGAACGAAGGTGAGGCATCAAGGCGACACTGAAAGCTCTCCAAACACCCCTAGCCTTTCAATGCAGCTTTAGTCTTCAAGCCGGGATCCTTCTTGAGCTTCGCTTAAACCCGAAACCCTAGAGGCTCAACACTCTTCGGGATTGGAACACAATGTAGATTAGCATCAACAATGTTCGCGGTTGGAACACAATGTAGATTAGCATGACAAGACGCCTGGGGATTGAACGAGGCACTTCTTTTCTGGTGGCAGCAGCAGCTCCGCCGGGCTGTCAGTTGCAACTTCCAGTGAAAACGGTGAACACGTGCAGGGATCTTGGGGTCTGGGGGAATAGATCTTCTTTGGCTAAAAAGTTTGCGGTGTGTGGGTTCAGGGTTCAGGGTGTTAGGGATTGGTTTAGGATCCTAGGCTTTCAGTCCTGCCACGTCGGGACGGTGCACTGAAGACACGAACCCTGCACCTACCGCAACAGGAAGGCTGGATTTGGCAGCCGGGGGGCGACGATGTACCGCGCGGCGCAAGTAGGCCCGAAGTTCCTGCTCGGCCCACCGCCGCCTTGCGACACGAGCTGCGCGAGCCGCGGCGTTCCGTTGCTTGTTCCAGCGCAACGACATGCCGCAAGGAGAAAAAGTCACTCGGTGTTCGAGCCTGCTCCCCTTGCTGCAGAAACTGCCACAATGCGTTGCCTTCGAGAGAGGCCCCCTTACCCAACAGTCCGGCCCCACGCTTTCCGAGTTTCTGCATCGCGGTCTTCGCCATTCTCAGTGACACTTTCATTGCGTTCGATCAAGACGCGCTTCCGGGCACTGCGGTTTCAGGTGTCAAAGGCAACTAAAAACTCTATGCATAACATGCGCTGGCAGCGACATCTTGCCTCGGGGATATGTGCAGGACACGTCCCTGACACGCGAATTCGCGTCCAGCGCTCATGGAGGGCGCTCCAGAGATTCAGGAGAAATCAAACGATCACAGGCTGTCAAAACGAAAGTATAGCCTAGCGATTGTATACCTCTGCCGGAATCTCTGTAAATGTGCATCATATGCAGCGTGCCCCTGCTCTGGCTCAGATGTGCTCCTCAGACGTGGCTTCTGCCGTGGACTTCTCCACGTTCTTCTGCTCCATCTCCCGGCCCTGCACTGTCCACACGATTTGGACTTTCTTCATGAGCTCCTTCAACGGGGCGGACAGCTGCGCGTCCTTGTACATTTGCGACCACGTTTTCGCTAGGCCGAAGCTCTTGGCTTCCTGTATTGTCAGCTTCTCTTGGAGAATTTTGCCGACGCTGTTGAATTGGCGTTGGAAGGATGTGCTTTGCAGGTCCCCCAAGATCTTCGCAGCGATGGCCTGGCGACTGGGCGCCTCATGGCCGACCCTGCCTTTTTTTTTTTTCGGGGTGTCGAAGAGCGAGGAACCCATCTGCTGCGCGCTGGCATCTCTGAGCTTGCGCTTCGCGTACTTTCTCGTCGCCGCAGCTTGAATGTCTTCCATGGTGGCACGGCAACTGGCAGCTGGCACGGCGGCATGGCCAGTTCTCTCCTTCATGCGAAACACTTCTCGGGGACCATCAGGGCAGTGCCTCTTGGTCATGCCACTCATTTCCTCGCAGGAACGAATGTGCACGAGCCGACTCATACCCAGCAGCTCGCAGGAACGCAGGATACCCAGCAGCTACTCTTTACTCTGGACGCTGCCTGGATCAGCTGCTTGTCGCCCTCCAGCCACTTGGCGAAGGCAATGTGGCTGCGCGCGCCAGACTTGCTGGCCAGGAGTCAGCTGCACCGCACCTCATGATCCAGGGCGGAGCATATGCAAACATTGTGCAGCAGCTGCCGGACTTGCCCCATCGACAGGCGGTTCTCGTCCTCCACCCAAGCCCCAATGCTTCGCAGGGCTTGTTTCACCTGACTCCAAGTTTCAGAAGTTTCAAGCAAAGACACATCAGGCCATGCTTCCTTTACTACAATCATGGTACGACGAACACAGCCGCCGAGCCTGATCGATGGACTCCGCTCTGACCAACTGCACCATGACCTTTCGTGGCGCAGCCGTGTCTCTCTCCGTTTTCTTCTCTTTCCCTCTCTTGTCTCCGTCGTTCTGACCCCAGCCTCGTGTGTTTTCTGGTCCACGGTCAGGCTCGCGTCGCGGAGAGGCAGCGTGTAGAATCTCACGGCGTCGTCTGCCAAAGCGAACTTCTCCAATTGAAAATTCGCCGGCGCCCCCGCGACGTACGCTGATGCAGCTGGCACTCGGAGCTGTTCGTTGTTTTGGCAAGCCACCCTCTCCGTCAACACGGCCTCACCCGTCAACAGGCGGCAACACTGGAAGTCTAATCTGGGGGAAGCCCCGAGCTGGATTTCATCGCCGTCCATGTGCTCGGCGCGAAACATCGCCTCCAGGCCGGCCAAGATTTTCGGCACGCTGTGCTGGAGCGGAATTTTGTGCATGTCAACGGGCAAGTGATTCTGCTTGAGGTTAGACCAAAAGCCTTCCAGCGCCTGCGACAGTGTGCCGCATCCGAAGCCGGCGCGGGTATGCTCGCCCCGGCGAGCTTTGATGGTCAGCGACCTCAGGGACTGCCACTCGGCGCGCCAAAGATCGCCATGCCTCTCCAGACAAGTCTCCTCCACGCGTGCATTGGATGAAAAAAAGCATCGAGCAAAAATTGCTGCGCCCGAGTCCTGCGCGTACCGCATGAGGTCAAGTTCGGCTTTTCCGGCTAACTTGACAAGGAAGCTGTCCCAGAACATACTGAACAGGTGCTTGTTGAAGCAGAGCGCGTGCGCGGAGAACTGCACTTCGCCGGCGCACAAGTTCTTCAACGCCAGCGGCGAATCCTGTCTTCTCACGGCGTCGATTTGATGTCGGACATCCCGGACAAACCGAAGTCCGGCACTCGTCGTTGCCTAGCAGCGGCTGTGAGTTACTTTCGGTTTTGTGATAATGATACTGCCTGCTGCGATTATCCTTGCTAAATTGGAAGTCGCGTCTCCAGCATCTGCGTTGTCCCATTGGATAGATGCTAGATTGAGAACAACGCCAGCTTCCTGGTAGCATTGCAAGCTGCACTGCACCAGGAGTCGAACTTGTTCAGTGTCGGTTTCTTTGGCGAGGAAAGCAACTGCGAGAGGCAGCAAGGCAGTGGTTGGCAATCCTCCCGGCCAGTGTCGCTGCTTTCCAGTCACGCGTGCAGTATCTTGGCGTTTGCCCTAGAGACCTTGGAGAATCTGGACAAGAACACGCGGCAATGGTCGGTCCTGTGCCCTGCCCGCGGTGTTTGCCGGCCAGTGCCAGCATCCACATCGGGAATTTGGCGCTGTTCGTTTTGTACGTGAAATCGGAGACGCCATATATCTCGTTCGTGTCAGCATCGTCCGGGGTGCTGCCGTCGGCGCGGTCGGTGTCAGTTTGAGCCCTCTCCACGAAAACTTTGGCTGTTTCCATCCATGCCGGTGCGATGAAGATGGCCGACTCCGGATGTCCAGGGACATGTAATAGCTTCCATGCAAACTTAGGGGAGGCACCTCTTTTCATGGGCTGCGCAAGCCACTCCAACCACTCGTAGAGGAACGTTGCCTGGCTTCGTTGCGGCTTGTTTTTGCGTAGGAAGGATCGTCTTACGCTCTTGAGCGCACTCTCGCTGGGTAGCTTGGCCCAGTCGACCCCATTGGAGATCATATCCGCAAGGGCACGGCGCGGCGCTTGCCCGCGCTGGCTTTTTTGGCCAGCTGCCTATTTTCCACTGACTGGCCCCAGACTTGCCGCGGTGTTACACCGTGGTCTTCGTCATTTGCGGTAACGGTGTGATTACCATCGACGAAGACGTGCTTCCAGGCCACGGGGCATTTCTCGTGCGCGGCACAGGTCGCCCTCACTGCGACTCCGGTTTTCCGAGGCATCAAACGCAGGCGGGCATTGATTATTGCACGCTGCTCGTTGAACTGACGCTCTCTCGCAGCGGCGCCGGAATACGGGAAATCTGCAGGCAAAGGAAAGCTCCAAGGCTGAGGCTCCGCTACCATGGCGATGAGCGAGAGCTGAGCTGCACGGGCCACGGACTGCAGCGAGGCAGCATGAGCATCCTCACACCAGGCACACACAAAAGCCGCGCAGGACAGCCCCCCGCCGTCTGACCCCAAACTTTCTCCTGGTCTTCGCCACTCTCAGGACACTTCCATTACCGTTGAGGCACAGGCGCTTCCGGGCGCTCTGAACTAAGGTCTGAAGCAAACCGGACTGGCAGCGAGACTTTGCCGCGTCATGGCAGTTGGCGCGTGGCGCTGCTACTATCCTACTATCGGGGACACCTCCCGGTCACCTCCCTGGCAAAAGAGTTCGCCTCTGAAGTCACGTAAAACGAAACCTACTCTGGAAAATTGGGCTTGTCGAGCTTGGCCGCTGCCACCGCCTCTACCTCCGCTTAGTCGGTGTGCACGCTGCAGCTCTCCCTGAAACAAGCCATGCATACGTGCTCTGCAGGAGGCCAGCGTGTCGGGGCATATGTTGTGCCTTTCACAGGCGGCCGCATCCTTTGCAACCTCCCGAAGTAGATGCCGCAGCTCCCCCTCGCTCATGGCATGCAGAGGGTTCAGAAACGTAGGCAATTGGCTGGGCCTTGCAGAGTCTGCCGCCAAAAATCGCCAGCAAATGTACCAGCCCAGCGACGTGGCCATGTCCAGGCGCTGATCAGCTCGTTGACTTTTGCTTGGGGCCGGCACGGCGGACAAGGACTTGGCTTCTGAATGAAAGGAGGCAGCTAGACTGACAGGCTGGGGCCTGCGCAGAAAAGACAATCCGCGCAAATGTATTTTCGTCGCCCCAGCAATTCCACGAGCATTCTCGAGCCACCCTTTCGAGCCCGGGCCGGCGCAGAAAACACTTTCCACGCAAAGTTATTTTCGTCGCCCCAGCAATTCCACGCACATTCTCGAGCCGCCCTTTCCAGACAGTCGCACATTTTCCAGACAACAGCTTGGGCTTTCGGGGAAGACTTCAAACATCAATCTCCGAGGGAGCGAGCCCCTAGACTCCTCATTTAAAGCGCGTTTCACGCGCATTCTCGAACCAGCATTTCCACGCACATCTGCGAGCCAGCGCATCCACGCACATTTGCGAGCCAACACATGTCGATGCTTGATGCTTGCTTGACTTCCAAGCAACTTATGCGCAGTGCAGCGGGACTGCACAAGAAAGACCTGACTCCAATGTTTTTCCGCTTTGACACCATAGCAAAGACTCCAGGAGCCCAGCCAGAAAGCTCTGAGATAGAATCTGTATTCAGGCTTTGCGTCATTGCGGAATTATGGAATAGATTTACTACCGGTGCTTCTGTACACGCTACTTACTCAATCGTGAACACTTCTCATTCTCAGGCTCCATGCCGGCTGAACCACTGCTCTCTCGCTGAGACCCCAGACTGCCTGGCCTTTGAGACTCCACAGTGCTTACCACCTTCAATTTCGCCTTGAATCTGGCAGCGGGCTTTAATAACATGTATTGCAGAACCACTTCTTCATAATTTACGTAGTTCCTCTCAAAGCAGGCGCCATGGAGGCTGGCCATCGCCGTGGCCTAAAAATCTAGCAGGGCATCCACCTCATCTCATCAGGTTCACCTAAGGTGGCCCTTGCGCTCCAGTCTCGCCAGGCGCCGAAGAAGCAGGAGGAAAGCCCGGACCGCCGAAGACCGTGCTCGGCATAGGCATCGTCGGATTGAAGCCGAAGGCCAACAGCAAATTTGCGCCAGTACGACTCAAGGCGAACACTGCAGCAGCCTCCCTGCACATGCGACTGCAGGTGACCGTAGCCCGACTGGCCCTCTCCATGGCTTTTGCGAAAGCCAGTGCATTGTGGGTCTGCAGCTGAGTCTGCCTGTCCAGGCGCAAGCTGGACTCTGTCGTGGCACCTTAGTTCGGAAATAACTGGGGGAGCATGTATTGTCGTGGAACAGCAAGAAGAAACCAGAATCTCTTCGCCCCATAGTCTCTGACCAAGCGACCAGCCAGCAGCTGCCTCAGCTGCGCCTCGGGAAACAGCTGCTGGCCTGCCGCAGGCTCAGAAGACGGCGTTGGCTGGCGCCGCTGACTGGGGCGGCGGCGTTGCCGTAGCCGCCGCTGCGAGCGCTGGTGCCTTTGTCGCTGGTGGGGCCGGTGCTAGCGTCTGCGCTGGCAGCGGCGGTTGCGACTTGCAGTGCACAGCTGCCATCATCGGCTTGGGCAGCTCCTGAACCTGTCAGATCCTACCACACGAGCCGACGGCGCCGCGCCGCTCTCCGACCGGCTTCAGCTCCGCCGGCGCCGTTTGCGTCTGGTCCTGCGGTCGGCCCGGTCCTGGTCTCTGTGACCCTCCTCCCTAGGCTCCCGGCCCCGGTCTTCCAGAAGTTTGTCCGCTGGCTCTCCACTCTGCTCCGTCTCCCTGTAATGGAACAGCTTCGCGCCGTTCGCCGCACGCTCTGCCGCGGCCCTCTCCTCGAGTTCCTCAGATGCGTGAGCAGCTTGGTGCGAACGTCTCCCTTGTCTGTTCCCTTGCTGACATAGGAGTTCCATGGCGCCAGAGACCCTTCCATCGGGTCCCTTATTGGGTCATCCACAGCAGGCACACTTTCTTCCGCCTTTGGCTCCATGGTTACCAAAGGAGAATCACCACCATTACCAGCCACAGCTGCTCCATTGGCCCCGGCGTGGCCTAAAATCTTCAGCTCCTCGCTCCTGACTTCAGAATGCACTGGCGCGTCCACCGTAGCACCTCCATCATCAGTCGCTACAACGACCTGCTCCCCATTGTCACAGTCGGTTGCAGAGCTTGTACCACCAGGTGCCTCAACCCGTGCTCCATCCGCACTCCAGGTTTTCACCGGCACGTTTGCCCGCACCACGTTGGTGCTCCAGGCCTCATCTTTCTTTTCAGGCAAATTATAGCTTCTGCTACTGTCGTTGACGATGCGCTTCTCCCTTCCTCTGCTCTTTCCTCTTCTTTTTTCTTTTGACAGTAGTCCGTGATGACTCCTTGTAGCCACTCCGTTTGTTCTGCTTCTTCTTCTTCGTCCTGCTCTTCTTTCCATCGGAGTAGTGCTTCTTCCGGTTGCTCTTGATCTTCTTCTTCAGCTTCTTCTTGGGTTGGGTTGTGTTCCGAGCTGGCTGCTCCGGCTGGTGAGGGTTGCAGTGGCTGGCGTTGCGTTTCGTACCCTAATCCCTGCAGGCTGGCGTGCAGGCGTGCTGCTGTTTCCCCTTGTTCTGGGGTGTCGAGTTGGTTAAGAGCTGTTTGGATGTGAGCTGCTGCTTGCTCTATTTCACGCCTCGTAGGCGTGCGCTGCCTCCTGCTATTAACCACTCTCTCTCTCTCTCTCTCTCTCTCTCTCTCTCTTTTGTTTATTTTTATTTTTTTCCTCTCTCTCTCTCTCTCTCTCTCTCTTTCTCACTTTCTCACTTTCTCTCTTTCTCTCTTTCTCTCTTTCTCTCTTTCTCTCTCTTTCTCTCTCTTTCTCTCTCTTTCTCTCTCTTTCTCTCTCTTTCTCTCTCTTTCTCTCTCTTTCTCTCTCTTTCTCTCTCTTTCTCTCTCTTT